TGACCTGTTCTGGGGTTCTGATCCAACTCAGCAAACAGTTTAGAGGATGATCTTGAGCCTAGAACTCTCTCTCAGCCCATCTACCTCACAGGGTGCTGTGAGGACCACAAAGGAGAAAACACCCATGCATGTTGTGCTGAGGTCTTAGGCGTAAGATTGCAACAGGCTGGAGAAATAAAAAACAGGCTAAGGGGCAACGGCTTGCCGAGCTTTCTTGCAATCTCCAAGAGGAGATTTGAACCTTGATTTCCCAAGGTCATGTACCTGGCTGCATCTTTATATCGCAACTGTCTGAACTGGCCAGACAGTACAGGAGAATGAGGAAGCTAAGCCTTCCATTGCTTTCATTGTAAATTAACTTCTGCTCCATTGATGCTTCAGTTTTGAGAGAAATACAGCGAGGAATATTCTCAAATGACATTGAAATTAACATTCGACACAACTTTGTACTTGCCAAGCTTTGAATGTTCAGCTCAAATGGGTTGGAGTCCAGGGCTTGAGTGTTTGAGGTTATTTTCTGGGGGTTTTTCCCCACGGCTCTAAGAACTGTTTTAATTGTTGTCAACCACCCAGAGAGCTTCGGCTATTGGGCAGGAAAGAAATGTAATAAATAAATAAGAACCAGATGTTCATTATTGCTGTTTGTTCAGATGATCTGTACACTTTATTATTCATTCAGTAGAGTGTTCCCTGGTGTTCAGTCAGAGAAATGTTGATTGTTTAATCTGAGTTGGGTGAGAAATACACAAAATCCCAGGTTCCAACAGGTGGCATGTTTAAAGTTGCAAATTTATCAAATGTTAAAAATTTACCCAGTATTTGATCCAATTGTCTTTCAGTGGCCATCACAGAACCAAGCCTTTAATGGCAAATATGCAACTTAGTTCTCTACATGTGGATTAGGGGAAAACCTAAAAGAAGGAAGGGGGAAAAAACTGGAAGGAGGCAAGTAGTTTATTTATTTAGCAAACTTATATGCCACCCCATTCTTTGCCTGTCAGTCTACTGTATTTCTATTCTGGTCATTGGAGAAACTTTCTTTCCTCCAAGGTGAACTCAAGTACAATTTGGGCTGGTAGAAGAGGAATGAAATTTGTCCATCCTGTTAGCCTGTGCACTCACCTGCATGGATTTTCTGCTCACCTGTGGCAACCGAGCAAGTTCTTACATGGAAAGCCACCCTTCAGCATTAATTTTCTCAGGCCTTTTAAAAGCAATCTGTGCCCCACAGAATAGATAGTAAGTGTCATGTCAGTGCCTCTTTTTCCGGCAGGGCTCCTGGGTCTTTAACCACTGTGTGATACGCTGAAATGCAGAGGCTGCAGACTTCACTGGCATTGCTTTGCTGGAAAGATCTCCACTTGTTGAATTTTCTGCTTGCCAAGGATCTCAAAAGTTACAAGAACCCTACTGGATGGAAGAGCCAAAATTTAACATATTTGAAAAAGAACTGCCAGGTTTCCTTTCCCCAGTTCTAAAGATTGAAACCACTGTGCTTCCCTTGTAAAGTTAAAGCCAGTGGGGCCTGAAGAACAAGCGTTTTTTCGGGAGGGTCTGAGCTGGCTGGTAACGTGCACACTTTGCATGCAGAAAGCCTCGCCACAGCTCCCTGCATGTCACAGCTTGGCATGCTGGGAGTTGTAGTCCAACACATCTGGGAAGCAATAAATTGGAAAAGCCTACCCTAAAAGAACACTTCGTTTGACCCAGGCGGAACAACTTCAGGGCGCGATCAAACCCGCGCAAGCAACTGGGCCAAACAAGCAGAACAGGCGGCGGGCAAATAAACCCACCGCTGGATGGATTCCAAATTTGCATCTGATTATTCTCAAGCGCCCTTCTCCATTGGCTAGCAAGTCGAGGACATTCACACGGCGCCATCCCGCCCCGCCGGACGGGCATTTTTTCTCGTTCCCAACGGGAGCCCGCACCGTTTCCCTTCTGCCGTGGCAAGAAGGCGCCATTCCTTCTGCAGGCGATCCACTCGGGCAGGGGAGCAGGGCGAGGGAGCATGCCGGAGAAGGAGGCAATGGCGGATCCCGGCTCGGCCTCTTCGCTCCTCCTCCTCAGACGAAAGAACAATGGAAGTGGCCAACTTGGCACGGATAAAACTTGTTCGCGGGCGGCGGCGAGTCGCGCGCCTAACCGGCAGCTGCAGTGGAAACCCGCGAAGCATTCGGGCCGCGCGTGTAACCCTGTTTATGCAATCGCACCAAACCAAGCCATCAAACCAACTAGGTCACTATTTTGCAACAAAATTCTTGCGCTTCCTGCTCCGCGGGGAACGTGGGGGGATACGGAGGATGGCTGCAATCTGACACCTACTCACTCAAAATTAACCCAACTGGGCTGAGTAGGCACGCATAGGATTGCACCGCTAGGCCTTTGTGAATAGTAGCTTCACTACTGATCCCAAAGAATAATTCCCATGGAAATGGATTCGCAGCAGGATCCTTAACATGCTTACTCAGAAGCAAGTCTCAAGTCGGCGGCGATTACTCCCAAGTAAATGTACACAGTATCCCGGCTCTGTGGTGAGACTAGGTACGCTTTAGCATTAAGTAATAGTCCCATGTTACCCCGTTATCTGGAAGAGGACCTAACCATTTCCTGGAATAGTTCTAACTCAATTACTTCCGAGTAAACTTGCTTAGGATCAGAATGCGTGCATAGGATTGGAAGATTACCAACTGTCAGCTCAAGCCAAGTTGCACCGGATACTCAGAGGAGATGGAGAAAGTCCCGTACTAACGGCTTCAAACCCCTTGCCTGAAAAACCAATCAAAACAAATAGGTCACTATTTTACAACAATCATTTGAACTCCAGATTAGGATCGGGACCGGGAGAGGACTGTTAAAAGTCCCACAGTTCACGTTAAGGTGTCCTTTCGGATTGGGGGCCCTGCCTTAACAGAAGAGTAAAAAAACAAACAAACAAACAAACAAAAACACCAAAAACCCTAAACTGAATTTCAGGCAATGCTATAGTTGTTGCTAAGTTTGCAAATAATTTATAGGAAATAAAAATGTGCAAATATTAGAAAGCAACTGGTGTATTTCCCTTTGCATGTCCCCACTTCTAGCAGTGCAATCCCATACGGATCTATTCAGAAGTCAGGCTTGTCTATTGCAACGGAATTTACTCCCCGGAACAATGTTTACGTACTGTTTTGGACTAACGTCCCTACCCCGATAATCTCCAAGGGACTCAGCTCTGAATTGCTGTCAATCACCAACATTACAAATACGAGATAAAGCATTGCGCCAAGTTCAAGCAGAAACGATCACTTCGGAGTAAAAACGCGCCGGATCGGGTTTCAGGGAACTGGGCCTTGCATGAACACGATGCTGTGCATTTTAATTCGGAAAGCGCTTTTGGATAGCGCTCACGTGCACAGGGTCGCGACTTGGTAATGCAGTTCAAAGGCAAGTTACTCCGAAGTAATTGGCGCGGTGTACAGAGGGTGGCTCTTAGGGGAGCAATAGGTCGGAGCCTTCATGACGTTTACTCCTCGAACGTGCCTACTTAGAAATTTGAACCTCACCCATTTCATTAAGATTTACTTCCAGATAAGAAAAGCTTTTTTTAAAGAAACCCCAGGGATTTATTTTGCCAAGGGAATTCTAAATTCGGGATGCACTCAGGCGGCAGAAGACTCGTTCAAGTCAAGGGCGGCTGTCATTGCGCAAAACCAGCTTAGGATCGCGTCCAGGTTAGCGCGATCCTAAACAAGTTTTGCGCAGAAGATAGCCGCCCTTGATTGAAAGAGCCATCTGGCGCAGTCATAACCTTGAAAGACTGACTCGTGAGAAAGTGCACAGCATAGATATGGAAGCTTTCCTTTGCCAAAGCTCCCCCGCGCGCAAAACCCCGGCTGTCAGCTTCTCACTAGCAAAACCCAACTGAAAGGGAAACAAGCAAATCCACCCTTCGACCACAGCATCGCTGCTTTCCCATCGATTTCCCTTCGCCCACCTATATCATTTCGCGGCACGTTTTCTTGCAGTTCTTCGCGTACGAGAGGAAGAAGTGGGGCGGCACTCGTCTCGGCAGTTCGTCTCCTTTCGTGTTTGCAAACAAACAAGCGCCCGTTTCTTCCCGAAGTCTCTGGAGAGAATGAAGGGGAGTGTCGCTTTCCTCCCCGACCCACTCCTTGCTTGTTTGGCGTGGCCTCTAATGCAAAGTATTATGATTAATATTTTTGCACTTTGCAAAAATCCACTTTTTTGCATGATGCAAAACCTCTTAAGTACGCATGTGTTATTTTGCAAAAGCAAAAAATTCTTTACGAATGCATTGCTGCGTTTGCGCGGCCGAGGGGGTGTCCCTTTGCAAAGCTTTAGCAGAGTTTGCATAAAGGAGGGGGGGGAACGCCCGCTGGATGTCTGGACGTAATAGCCACAAGGGCACACCGCCACCTTTCTCTTCCAGCCCCTGCAGCAGCCGGAGAGTTGGGATCGGGACGGGGGGAGGGGAAAGGATTTACAAATGCAAAGAAGCAGCTGAGGACGCAACAGCAGCTGCCGCCGCTGCCCAGAACAGAAGCCCTGGCAGGCTGGCGACTGGTGGGGGTGGCGAGGGGGGAGGCAGGCGGATGGTGTCGGTTGTGTCTGTTTAAATAAAAAAGGGGAGAGCTGGAGGGTGGGGGATTTGCCAGGAGCAGCCGCCGCCGCCAGACGAGAGTCGCGTATCCTGGTCGCAGAGGCGTCAGGAGCAGCCGCCGAAGCGGGCGAGCTGGGTTGGGGCTCTGCTATTGTGCGCGTCCGGAGAAGGCGAGAAGAAAACGCGCGCGCACCCGCTCACACACACACACATACGCGCGAGAGACAGACCGACAGACACACACCGCGCAGAGGGGAAAGTATCGCGAGAGCGCTCTGGCTAACAACCTGCTTCACAACACACGGGAGCGCTGCTCTGGGTTGCCAGCAACAAGAAACAGCGCACGGAGCGGCCCGGGAAGGGGTGGGGGAAGGAGAGCGGCTACATCTGGCGGAGGAGCCGCGGGGACTCGGGCACATGCCGTTCTCCAGCGGCACCCTCGAGCAGCACCCGCGCAGGCTGGTAAGTGGCGGCGCCCCCTTGGCAAAGCCTGCGTGCACCTCCCCCTGCCTTGAAAGTGGCGCGCGGGGGGTACCGAAACGCTTCTCAAACTAGTTGCACCCCTTCTCCTGGGAGCCGGGGGTCCTGCGCTGGCTTTGGACGGCAGCTGGGATGCGCGTGGCTCCGTCCTCCCCAGCCCGGGCTTCGTTTGGTGCGTCAAACGGCGGCGGCGGCGGCGGCGGCGGGGGGCGCGGGAGGGCGAGCGAGAGAAGCCGAGCGGATTGTCTTAGGAAGTTGTAGAGAACTGCGGCTGGGGGTTGCGTAGTGTGTGTGGGGTGTGTGCAGTGGAGGGGAGCATCTGAAGGAATTCCAGATCTAGGATGCGACAGGAGAGGTTTACAAAAAGGGAGAGAGAGAAAGTTTGCAAAACTGCGAGTTCAGAACTTTCTTTCCTCTTCCTCCTCCTCCCCTCCTGCTCTTGCACTTCTTCAAAGGTCAGACTGCGTTGTCCTCCATTAAGAGCAACGAGTAATAAGATTGTTATTTAAGCAACTTTCCCAGGGTGGTGGGGAGGGAGCATAGAGGCGGCAGCATTGGGAAGAAGGACTCGGTTTAAGTTTGAGATTTAATAGATGGCTATAAATGGGGAGGGAGTTGCTGGAACTTTAAAAGGCAGCACGCTGTGGTTGGCTGGTAGCGAGATTTGAAGTAACATATGGCATTAAAAGGGGCACAGCTGGAGGTAGCATTTTCATCGCAGTGAAGTCAGAGCAGCTGACTCTCCAGCTTGCGGTGTAATTAGCAAACGGAGCACTCCCTCCCTCCCTCTCATGCACTCTTTCCTCTCTCTCTCTCTCTCTCTCTCTCTCTCTCTCTCTCTCTCTCTCTCACATGCAAGCATTCTTCCATTTCTGGCTAGCAAAAACCCCTTCATTTCCCAGTCCCTGGGTTGATCCCACCTCCACTGCAAAACCAAAACAGAGCAAAATGAGAAAAGCATGAGGTCTTCCAGAACTTTTTGGGGAGGGCCCATTTGCTTCCCCTATGAGCCCTTCCATTCCGGCTCTGCAGCTGTTCAAGGTAAGAGGTCCGGGAAGTTGCTGTCAAGTTAAAAGAGGCTTTAACTGCAGGTACATTAGTGGAGGATAATAGACTTTTCTCAGATATGTTTCCTTATAACTGCCAGGACAATCTATGCATTTGTGCACTCATGCGCGCACACTCTGTATAGTTTCTTTCTCAAAAGGGCAGGCAACCTTTATAAAGGCTAGAAGGGTACATTTATGACTATTAAGGCATGAAGTTAACCCTCTGTCTGTGGAAAGTAGGAGTGTGCAAAGTGCATTCAGATTTTATAAAGTAGTCGTGACGCTACCCTGAAGTTAAAATTTCTAGGAATGCATGAGACTCAAGCCTTTTTCTGTGAAGCTTTGAGCAACGTTAAGACAAAAGGTTGGAGGCAGAACTTCTGAGGAGCTCTGCTTAGAATTGAGCTTTCCCTGTTTTTGAAGCAGGTGCTCTGGCATGGGGGGCTGTGTGTGTGTTCAACAACAACAACAATTAAACAAAAATTACAGGCAATTAACAGTTGGACTGTTATCTCCAAAGCTCCAGTTACCCCCCAAGCCAATCTGTTTGCTTGTTAACAGCTGCTTAGAGGCCCTGTGGTTTATAATAGCATTCAAGTTTTTCCTGTTTTGAACAGGTTATGAAGGAAGAATGGAGTTCCCAGACCATAGCCGGCAGTTGCTGCAGTGTCTGAGTCAGCAGCGTCACCAGGGTTTCCTGTGTGACTGCACTGTTTTAGTTGGAGACGCTCAGTTCCAAGCCCACAGAGCTGTTCTCGCCTCTTGTAGCATGTACTTCCATCTTTTCTACAGAGACCAGCTAGACAAAAGGGACATTGTGCATTTGAACAGTGACATCGTCACAGCCCCAGCCTTCGGCTTGCTGCTCGAATTCATGTACGAAGGCAAGCTGGAGTTCAAGAGCCTTCCGGTTGAGGATGTGCTGGCTGCGGCCAGCTACCTTCACATGTACGACATTGTGAAAGTCTGCAAGGGCAAGCTGAAAGATAAGGAGTCTTCTGTGGACGAGAGGATGAACGGCGGCAGGGCCCTTGTGGAGAAGGATGGGGCAGTGCTGGAGAACGGAGCACCCCTGGGACAGCAGCTCAGCCCGGAGAACAGGCAGAAATCAGTTGCCACGGAATATGACAGAGCAGCCGGGAAAGAGAAAGGCAGCAGTGGTTACCCAGGCTGGTCCTCTGATCTTACAAGTGTCGACTCGGTGTTGGCTGGGGCAGAATCAGACACCATGGCAGCTGAGAAAACAAGAGCGAATGTCAGTAGTTCGGTGGGACCTTTGTCCCGAAGGTCTCTTAAACGCCCCTTGGCTCCGAGTGATATAGAGTGTGCTTTAGATCTGTCTTTCAAGCCTGTGACTGGGAAGGAATCCTTACACCCCTCCTACATCTTTGGACAGCTGGCTTCTGACAGCCCGGAGCAGGGATGTAAACCCCTTGTCAAAGAGGAACCGGAGTCCCTGTCGGATGGGGAGGACCCAGAGGTCAGGAGCCCAGAAAGCCAGCATTTTGGGAGTTCTGCCAAGAGCCTCATGGCAGGGCTAGGAAATGTGTTTGCAGCAAATGGCGATGCTCGGATGCCCGACGAAGACCTTGATCCAGAGAGGGAGGCGAGCGAAGACGACCTGGATTCTTCCGACATCTCCTCCTCGGGCCTCTTGGCGCCCCCTGGGCACATCTGCATCTGCCCTCTCTGCAGCAAGGTCTTCCCCAGCCCACATGTGTTGCAGCTGCATCTCAGCTCGCACTTCCGTGATAAGGACAGCTCGAGGACCAGGCTCTCCCCGGACGGCTCGGTGCCCACATGCACGCTGTGCGGGAAAACTTTCTCTTGCATGTACACCTTGAAAAGGCACGAGAGGACTCACTCGGGGGAGAAGCCCTACACCTGCAGCCAGTGCGGCAAGAGCTTCCAGTATTCCCACAACCTCAGCCGCCATGCGGTGGTGCATACGAGGGAGAAGCCACACGGGTGCAAGTGGTGTGAGAGGCGGTTCACGCAATCTGGCGACCTGTACAGACACATCCGCAAGTTTCATTGTGGCCTTGTGAAGTCGATGGTGGTTTGAAGGGGGTCGTTTTGAAGAAGGCAGGCCGTCGGCATCGGACTTTCCGCTGATGAACGTTGGGCGAATGCTGGCGTGAAAGGGGGAGGGGGAGAAAGTGGGTGTGTCTACATTTCAGGGGGCAAGTATCCTTGGCCCACACTCGTCTCCCGTCCCCCGACTCACTGTAGCACCCCCGACTCACTCCAGCAGCTTATCCTTAGCAGTGTGCTTGTGTTTCTGTGTGACAGGTAAGATGAATATTGATCTGCGAATTGTTTAATCCAAAGCCCTTGGATGAAAGCCGATTTAATCTTGCTGATTGACTGAGTAGGTATGGGGAATGGTTTCTGGTGATGCAAAGGTGTCGCTTGCAGGGTGCTCTTTTACAAAGCTGGAAGTATGGTAAAGGATCCCCACTGAGAGAGAAGGGACAAACCTTGATCAAAAGTGCACCTTGGGTGGAACAGACTGTAAACTCCCCTTCCCACCAAATTCTCTTTCATGCATTACAGGTGCCTCAAGGAGGCAGTGTAGGGTGGTTAAGGCCGCAGTTTTCCGCCCACTCTGAATGTAACTTCTTCAGGGGTGCAATCCTATGCGTGTTTAGACAGAAAACAAAAGACCTACGATTCCCAGCATTCCCCAGGCAACATACATAGGATTGCACCCCAGTTCAACTTTTTAGTTTTAATATGTTCCAGGCATGTAGCATTTCAAAGCCGTGCATGTGTGTGAATGAGAGATTTCCAGAGCAAACCTCACATTATTTATAACACAAGTCTGAAGAGAAATGTAAGTTTAGTGTGCCTCTGGGGGATGGTGGAAAATCCTTATTATAACTCAGGCCTGAAAATCAATATAGGATAGTCTGAAAAATTCCCTTTTATCTTTATTAACAGATGGTAAAACTTTGTCTTTGAATTTCTTTCTGCTGGAGCAACTTCACCTTGCTGCTATTCCTGCCTTTGAAATATGTTTTTTGCCCCTATCTGAACTTGCTAGTCTGGTGAATCAAAAATGTTTTTTTTTCCACCAGTGCGGTATCCAGTTCACACGTTCCTGGTTTGCAGGGTTTGTGTGGACTGGGCACCCTGTTGCCACAGTGTACTGGACTTTCCATATGATGTTAGGCCTCTGTGCACAAAATTCTGCACATCTAAATCCTGCGGTTGTGAACAGTGCAGAAAAGGGCTGCGTGGATGGTGTCAGAAGGACTTACTTGGGTAGGCCTTGGTCTTCACCAGAGGTTCATTGTGCCATGGGAAACTTGACATGCCACATAGGTTAATAAAAGCAAAATTTCCTAATTCTGTTTCTAACAGAAGCACTTTTTCTGCAAGTAAATTCCCCCTGGGAGCGAGATCAGTCCTTGCAAAATGCGACCACCGTTGTCCCTTATCCCAAGGCACCAGTCGGCTACAGATTCTCCTTCATTGTGAATGATAGGTTTGATGTGTGCAGTTCAGGGAGGGAGGGGAGTACGGAAGCTGTTACCGAGCACGGGTTCGTTTTGCAATTGTGGCATCTTGCACCCTTGTCAGTGACCAGGTGGAATGGTCTGCAGCCCATTTTCACTCCCTTTTTCTAACTTGTCTTGGACCTCGAGGTCAGAGGTCTGCTCCCCATTTCTGTGGCTCACTTGTGGGCAGCATGCGGCCTCACCGTTTCTGCTGCTTGCTGTCCCTGCAGATTTTGCAGGAAACGGTGCTTTCCCACAGCAGACCCACAAAATTGGCACACATTGCTTGCTTTCAAGCTAAATGTGGCACTTTTGAGCCTCTGGTGGTTTGCTACTAACCTTTTGTCCACCACAGGCAGTGCAGTGGCAGAACTTGGGCCTCTTAGGGGGATCCAGGGCTAGAAAATAGTCCATGAAGCATCCGGATCTGCTCAGCAAGTAGCAAGGCTGTTTGCTTGTGAAAAGCTCCCTTCCTGAGGTTTAGTTGAGGGTTGCCAACTCTGAACTGGTGCTGTCTATGTGGTGGTCTATTTAACAGTAGCTAACAGTATGTAGCCATTGTGGATAGTTATGGCTAATGTCTTAATTCCAAACTTTAGCAAAACTAGCCTTCCTGGTGTTTAACTCTCAGGATGTCTGACCACTGGCTGTGCTGGTTAGAGTTGATGTCCAGAAACATCTGGAGGGCACCATGTTGGAGAAGGTGATGCTAAACAGGAGTAGACTGGACGTTTTGGCTGAGCAACCCATGCCTGGTTGAATTGCACCAACCCGTTAACTTTCCTTGCACACATGTAAGTGTTTGTGTAAGCTGGTATGCTCTTAGTTGTACAGCTATGCTTACACTAAGCATGCCTGCTTGCTTTTACGTGCACATGGGTGCACTTCTCCCAGTTCTGCTCGTTAATAACCGTTTGGGTTGGCTCTCTTAAGAGCACTGGCAAGTTGGAGTCTGCAAAATGGGGAATAGGGCACTAATAGGCCGTGGAGCTCAGAATCTTTCCTCTGTTTTCTTTTCATCACCCGTTGGAAACTCAGCAAAGAGATGGGCCCTGCCTGACCCCTGGAAGGGAGCACATCTGGCTGGAACAGCTGGTGGAGGCCAGCCTTGGGGTTTCAAGGAATGGGGCGGTTCCCACGGAATGGGGCCTCGAGGAAACTTTAAAGGAATCAGATGAGCGAATGGAGGTGACAGCTGGGAGTTACGTTAGAATGCCATTTCCTGCAGGAAAAATAATACGAGGTTTTTGTAATATGCCGGCAGTTTAATAATGCTTCCTTAAAAAAGAGAGAGAAATCTTCCCTTTTCCAGTACCTAGGATTATTGTCTATTGTGTGCTGGAAAACTGTAGTCCTGTGCGGTGTGCCATCCCCAGCACCAGAAAGCACTTGTGCTAAAGGAAGGGGCTTAGCTACATTAAGGGAGTGGCAAACTTTTGGGATGGATGCTGTCCAGACAGCCATAGGATGGGTTGGGTCCCTGTTCTGACCTTGGAAATGTCCTCCGGCCATGGGATTCCCTCACAGCCCATGGCGTTCTTTTTACGATAGCTCTTGAAGTCAATGTGACTAAGGATTTGGGGTGCTCTGGGTGGGGGGGGGGGGGGGGGACGGGTGTAGAACTGTTCTTGTTCCTTTCATGGATGTTAACTGTTCATTTTTACAGGTCTTATGTAGCCAAGGTCTACCAATCTGTAAATAGTCCGCTTTCTATACAAGTAGATAAATGTGGCCAGGCAAGCATTATTGCAGTACTTGGGTTGTGTGTGGGGGGCATATTTTTGTGAAGAGAAACTGAAATGCTCTACAGTTAGAACAAATCTGGGGGCTTCACGTGTTCCTGCCTAAAATTCCAGAGTGTGTCTTAACGTACTTATGTGATTAAATATCAGGTTTTACCTTCTGATACTCATTTAAAAACAACTGCTCCCCACCATTATTGGTTGAATATATTTATTTGGGATATCCAAGTAGTGGGGCTGAAAGATTGCTAGCTGAACCCAATTTACTGAGATTTGGGGTGGTCTTAAAGAAAATCCATCTCTTGGCATGTTTAGAGTTTAATAATTTGGAAGCACTGATTTTTTTATTTTTTTTGTCCTAAAGGACAGCAGGTGATGTTATGTTGAGGAGGAAAATGTCCAGCATTTCCCTTCAACTACTGTGGCATCCCCACAAAAGGAGGAGGGAGATGCCGCCATGGGAGAATATCGTGTCCAGTCAAAGCCCTACTTGATTTTCGCTAGTGGCTCTCACTACAGACGAGGCAAACCTCTGAAATTAAGAGACTTGCCTCTTCAGCTATAGGAATTAATACAGAGCACTCTCTGTGTGAATTCTTTCTCCCTCCTATGCGCTTGTTTCCATCTTTGGTTCCTAATCTGTCCATTTAGGAAGTATTGCTATGAAGGAGCAATACAGACATCAATGTAGCACCGCTGTTTTCTGTGGGCCATGGGGAAGCGGAGTGGTGTGGAAACCAGCTCCTCTTTGTTCAGATAACTGATCTGTTGCAAGCTCCTCTGCACATATAATGTGAAAACTGTACTTGTATTTATGGTATGTCTAAATTGCATTCATTTCTTGCTGTACACATTTTCTTGGTAACACATGCAAGGCGTGTCTGAGCACCGTATGCCTTAGATATGTGACTTATGGTACTGTGGTTACTTCATGTGTTTTTTTTCCCTCGGATTGGAAATAGCACTGAACAAAACCTTCAAAAATTAAGTTATTTCTTTTCTGTTTAAATTTTAAGTTATATATTTTTTCCTCCTGATGATACTTGATATAGTATTTATTAGATTTTTTTTGTTAATGGAATGCTTACTTCAGAGCTTTTTCAGAATAACAAGCTTGAAATCTGTCATTTTAGCTTCTGTTTCTTAACACGTTTAAAAACTGAGCGAATGGACCTGTGAGATTGTGTATTGAATGTGGCACTGTGTGGGGTGTCTTCTTTTGCATTTGAGTATAACGGACAGAGGAACTCCCCTATGGAAACTCCGGTGCTTCCAAAAGAGATCCTCTTAACTCCAGTATGATAAACAGATGTGTTGTCATGAACGGGGCACCACAGACAAGTGTTACACACCTCAGTCTCTGGATCGGAACTCTGGTTTGTTCTTCCTTCTCTTGCTACTTCTAGAAGGATTAAAAATAAAAATAAAAAACTGCCATATGTGACACTGTTGGAGTCACGTGGTGTAATAAGAGAGTTCAAACAAGTTTGAGTTTCATTGATTCCTTGGAACTTCGGGAATGGTCTGGGCTGCAGTGAACAAGGCAGCAGATGTGTCCAGCTTAAGCGAATGGCACAAGCGTCTGTCGTCTTTCTGATTGTTCTTTCTCAACCTTTGTAGGTTGATTTAAAAAAAGTTTGCACTTTTCAGTTCTTTTGTTGTTTGTTCTTTGGGTTTTTTAAAGGTTGCAATAGTTCTGTGCATGGGTTTTTAAGGTCCTTTACATAAAAGTACTAAAACATTGCACACATGTAAGCTGGTTTGTTTATGCAGCAGCTGCTCTGTCTCATGGAGAGCATAATTGGAAACCTTTAGGCTCCGTTTTGGTTTTGATTTGACCGGAGTTGGAATTTTACCTTAATACTGCTTTACTGAAACAAAACACTGGATTTGTCTTCTACTCCAAACTGATACTGTGAAGTTAATGTTTTGAAAGGAAAAACAAGAAGAGAGAAATCAGTTATTTCTAATTACTTTTAATCTTGGCGCAGTTCAGATTCATATATGTATATTTAAAGACACTAATTTTTGTGGGAGAATTTTTATA